CAGGTACAGGTGGTTGATCAGACCACCCATCCCCTGTCTTTGAATAGCTTCGTCACAGGTATCCAAGACAGGCCTGTGCCCCCTGCATCAATTTGGCGCCATGTCCAGGCGTTTACACACACACACATACAGACGTAAATACATGCATGCATGCATGCATGCATGCATGCATGCATGCATGCATGCATGCATGCAGGCAGGCAGGCATGCAGGCATGCATGCAGGCAGGCACACCTACAGACATACACAACATAAATTGGCATGTGCCTGATTACCTAATACGTGTGTGTACAGATACACAGATGAAAACTTATACATATAATTAACAGTTGTACATATAAAATGTGTATAAGTACACATACATACATACATCCATGCATGCACATACATACATACATACATACATACATACATATGTACATATGTACATACCCACATACCTACATACATACATACATACATACATACGTACATATGTACATATGTACATATGTACATACCCACATACCTACATACATACATACATACATACATACATACATACATACACACACTCTCTCGTGCACACAAGCAAACACTTTTGAACCAGAACCATTCTGCAGCCTTTTCAAGACCTATGACACCCTTTTATGAATGCATTCAGGACGCCTGAATTTACGGAGAGAAAACAGCCTAACGCCAACTTGCCGGCCGTGTTACGAAGTTATTCTCCACAAAGCCTGAGACGGTAAGCACTTCGCAGAAGCAGGGATCTTCAGAAAGCGCCAACCGAAAAATTGCAAATCGCACTAAACCCACACCCTTAAAGACAGTACTGACGTCCTTGCCATGCACCAGGGGCACATGTCGAAACACCCGGCTGGGAATGTTGGGATAGAAGCGCACGTGCAAGTCCTGGAGACTGGCGCGACGAAAGAACAGTTCTGCCGTTTTGGATGGGGTGTACGAGTTTCAGGTGCTTGAGGGGGACAGAGGTTTTCGGTATCTGTTGCTGCAAGAGCGCTGCTGCAAGATGCAAATCACAAGTGCCAGCTGACGACTACGGTATGCAGACAACCGTGGGGTTAGCGCCTTCTCACAGCCAATGCTTCCAAGCCTTCGCAATGCACGAAGGACTGAACCTCATCTTGAACTTTGGAACTGGTTCCATCTAAACCAACCCCTGTGCACATGCCGTGCAGCGCCCAGAAATCCTCCCAGATATCGTCTGGCAACCCTTCGTGGACTGCGAAGTCTGCCTGTCTGCAGAAGAGAAGGATTTTGAAGCGGCATAGCGGAGCTGAGCAAACTTGCCCTTTCATAGTACATACAGATCGAAGTCCGTGGCGCATGCCAGGCATGAATGCTTTGGATCCAGCTACGAAGGTTTGAGTCCGCACTTGACACCAGGAACTTTGACAGTTGATTCACACAACGTACACCAACTACATGTTTACACAGAACACGCTGAAAGGCTTGTCTGTGCTGACGATCTGGAAAAGGGCGGGGGGATGGGGACCCGGATCAAGACAGGCCGCAGCCTGAGCAAGCCCAAACATAATTGCTGTCCTACGAATTGAGAACCATCTGCCGACATGCTAGCAACTTGTTCAACTTGCTCTTCCACTACACACAACCCGTGCACGCCAAAAGAAATTTTCCGTGCTCAGCTTGTTCGGACGCCTCGGCCGCACGCGAGTCGAAGGACTCTGCGGATTGGCGTGCTTCGGGGAACGCCTTAGCATAGGGCCGTTTAGGTGTGCTTGGGCAATTTAGAGTTTGCATCACTGTTGTATGGGTAGGAATCGCATGGCAAGGCATCCAAACTGAAGCGTTCCGGATGGCTCGGCAGGGGTGCAAAGAAATTCGGACGGTCATACTAGACTTGTGGCCACAGCACGGTACGGTACCCTGCAGATGCATACATTCATGACTACTCCAGTTGTCCATCCTCGGATTTGGCTAGCCCCATCTGCAGAAGCTCGGAATTCGAGGGGGACTGGCCAACTTATCCCACGTGAATCGACACATGATGTGCACTGATGCATCTCGCCCAATGCACACATGGAGTCAGACTGGTGCAATCCATAGGTGCGGTGGCTTCGAGAAATACAGAGCTTTGTTTGTACCGTCGAGATGGCTAGTAATGCTTGCCAAAGAGCTTTGGCAGCCAGAGGCAGAGAGCGAGAGCGAGAGGGGAGGGGCAGAAGGAAGAGACGAGACGAGACGAGAGGAGAGA